TCTGCGGCTGGAGACCCCCACTGGGGCAAGACTTGCTTCAGTGGGGCTTTGGTGCTCACTGAGTCTGCCCCCTGAGTGTGTCCTTTATGTTTCCACGGAGCTGCAAGCTGGATGGTCCCACTCTGACCTCTGGGTTTCCTGACTCCTTCATCTCTAGGGAGGTGCTAATCTAGCCTTTGCCTGAGGCTATCCAGCAAAAGCCTCCCTGCAGGGCTTCGGCAGGGCGGGTCCCTCGGGGTCAACAGGGCGGGGCTAGCATTTCTGGCTGCTGTCAGTCCAGCCCTCAAAGGCTCTGCTTCTCAGTGTCCCGGTAATCACTGCAAGCCCCTCCAAGAGAAAGCTGCCCTTGAGTTCAGACCGATGACAGACAGTCCTGCTTCTCCCGTATGAGTCTGGGTCCTTAGAGACTCACCCGGAACTGGAACCTGGGCCCCAGGCTTCCTCCCGATTGAAAACGACAATAGCACCCTCAGCTGCCAGCCCACTCCGCATGCACCTCTGTACCTTAGTATTTTACTTCTGCACCGCTCCTCCTCTGAGTCTTGGTATGCTTTTCTCTTTCCTTCTAGTTGTGGAATTTCCACTCAGCCAGCTTTCCTGTGGTTCCGGATGATGTCCGTTCCGTCTTTTAGTTGTATTTTTGAAGTGGTTGTTCGAGGCAGCAAACTCCAGTGTTTGCCTATGCCGCCATCTTGGTTTCTCTCAGATGCTTTTTTTTTGTTAAGCATAGTTATTCTGAGTTTTATGTCATTTGCAGCTTTGTCCAACTCAAAATATTATAAAAATGTATGATAATATTCTCATAAGAGAGGTTTTAGCCAAGATCTCAAGGATGAAGGGAACCAGGCTTAGAAAAATCAAGAAGGGAGAAAAAACAGCTCTGGAAGTAAGGCACAACTTGCACAAATATTTGAGGCAGGAAAGAATATAGAGTGTGGCTGGGCTGTCGTGCTTGGCTCAATGGTTTAGTGTTGACCTGTGAACCGGGAGGTCACGGTTTGATTTCTGGTCAGGGCACATGCCTGGGTGGGTTTCGGGCTCCATCCCTAGAGTGGGGCGTGCGGGAGGGAGCCAATTGATGATTCTCTCTCATCATTGATATTTCTGTCTCTCCCTCTCCCTCCCTCTCTGAAATCAATAAAAATAAAAAATTAAAAAAGAGCCGAAACCGGTTTGGCTCAGTGGATAGAGCCTCCGCCTTTGCTCTCCC